GTACGCGGGCCTCTCACTGTTGTGGCCTCTTCCGTTGCGGAGCACAGGCTCCAGACGCGCAGGCTCAGTGGCCATGGCTCACGGGCCCAGCCGCTCCGCGGCATGTGGGAATCTTCCGGGACCAGGGCATGAACCCGTGTCCCCTGCATCGGCAGGCGGACTCTCAACCACTGCGCCACCAGGGAAGCCCGAGCAACTGCTATTTAATGAGATAGTTGCTACGTGAAGGATGGACCATAAGGATGCAAGAGCAGAACAGAGAGGTCAGCCAGGGAGCTTGAATTGAGGACAGCTGGATTGTTTTTGTTTTTGTTTTTGTGGGGAGGGGGCAAGTTTTGCTGTGAAAAGGAATAGCTCTCCTAGCCACTTTAGCTTCAATATGCTTATTAGACATACAATCTGAAATGTCAGGTAGGCAAGTGTCCCAAAGGTCTGGAATTCAAAGGAGATGTCTGGGTTGGAGATATAGATTTGAAAGTCACCAGTATATGGATGTGTTATAAAGCCATGGACTGGACGAAGTAGGTCACTCAGGGAGAAAGTGCACACAGAGAAGAGGGCGGAGGAGAAGCCAAGGGCACTGCAGTGTTGGATAGAATATATAGATGTCAAAGGAAAACCAAAAAAGAGAGGTGTCACAAAAGCCTGGAGAATTGTTTCAAGAAGGTGTAGTTAATTGTTAACAGTTATTGAAAGACAGTTAATATAGGACTGACATCATTCTTTGAACCACTGGCTTTGACAAGATGTGGGCCTTGAGAAATATCCATTTCAAGGGTGAGGAAGAGATGAGGAGGTGAAGACCAAAAGTATAGACATGTCTTTTAGGGAGTTTTGCTGTTGAAGGAGAGCAGAAAAATTGGGTGCTAGCTGAAGGCAGAAGTGGGGTCAAGTAAGGATTTTTTTAAATTTGGTAAGATTTCAATAGGAAGGATTACTGAAGAGAATGAGGGCTGAGGGGTACAGTTAGAGGTGTCTTAAGAAGGTCTAGGGGATGGGAATCCTTTAAGTCCTTTAGGCAATCCTTTTTCTGCAAAGCAAAAAATGTTCAATAAGAATTTCTTTTTTAAACTCGTAAAGTGGGAAAAATCATCAGTGATAAAAACAGGGCAGATGATAAAGGAGTGACAGATATGTTTTGGACATATTAAGTCCAGTGAAATATTTAAATAAGATTAACTGACCAACTTAGTACAAGAGACTTTGAGCTTCAAGATAGTAATAATCCTTAAGAAAAATAATATATTTTACAAAGGATCAGTCCAGTTGGCAGACACCATTTAAATTATCCTAGGAACTTCCCTAGTGGTCCAGTGGAACTAAGATCTCACACGCTGCAAGGCATGGCCAAAAAAAAAAAAAAAACTTATATCAAATTAACAAGGACTTACCTTGCCAAGATTCTCGGCACTTTTATATTCACTTAAATTGCATTGGGAAAAAGCATAACAGTAATTGAAAAGCAACTAATTACAAGCAATTACAAGCCAAATTATGTTTATACCAAAATTAGTGTTTGAGGTGGTTTAGTCGACTTATTCTTCATTTCAGTAAGCAACTATCAAATAATTGAATAGCTTGTAAAACACATAAATACTCCTTTTATCTTTATTCCAAGTGTAACCACCGCATTCTCTTTGAATTATTATTATAATAAAATAAGCAACATTCATTATTTTTTGTCCCAATCCCCAGTTTGAGTTGGGTGCTTTTAAAAACAAGGCAAGAGTAGCACATGTACCTAGTGCACAACATAGCTTCTTTCAACAGGTTTGACATAGAAATGCGAACAAATTCATGCTCCTGTAAAGACAACTAATATCCTGCAGGGAATCTAGAGCACAAACTCAAAGCACTTGACGCTTACAACATTGTCATATTTCACTTGTAGTTGAGGTAAGTCTTTCTCTAAGGAGGATAAGGAAAGGTCTTTTGTCTTGTGACAGTGCTGATTTTTACGTCAGGTTGGTATTTTTCTCCCATATTTCTGAGTAAAAGTCACAACTTTGTTACCACAATTTTGCCACCTCAGGTTAAACTGTTTGACTACGACTCGACAACTTTTACAGTTTACTTGATTACTGAAATTACAGATTCATGACTCTAAATCACGACTAGTGATAGCTCTGAATCCCTGTTACGTTCATTTCCCTGCAAACAATTTCAGATTATATTTATTTTTGGTTCATTTTTATTGAATGAAGGAGTCTTTAAATTCTATAGTGCTTCACAATTTTCAAGTCTCACACAGATGATTTCATACAATCCCAAAATAACCCCATTTCCCTCCTACCCCTTTATGTCCCACTTTCAAATTACACTTAATAAATCAGGTTCTAGAAGCAGTTTTGCAGAATAAAGTCCCACCAGTTGAGCTAATTGAGCGCGGAGTTGCCAGTGCTTCACGGCAGCTACTGCGCTGGACCAACTCGGAGGCTTGGCGAGCCACATGCTGGCAGGTAGGTAGAGCCGGAGCCCTTCGAGGCTGGGCGCCACGTTGCTTCTCCCTTTTTGAATAGGGAGACAACGCTTCTGGCTATTGTGTAAACCGGTCGAGAACTACGTTCATTCGCACATCAGCTAAAGCGAGAGCAGCATTAAAGCGCCTTCTAATCCGACCCTTGGCAACATGTGCGTCACGACCAATGTGGAGTTTTAATGCCTGGCTTCGTTCGCCTTGGGGAAGATTACTTGAGAGAATGGCCGAGTACCTCGACAATCGCGACGAAGTGCACAGGATCAAAACACCCACGCCAGCCCAGCAGCGGCCACCGCCCCCGCCGAACCCCGCCAACCCTCCAGAGGACCCACCCGTGTTCCCCGATAACCAGTTGTTTTACGCAGCGTTACACAGCCTTTTCTCACTCCGTCTCCGCTCTCCCACCCACTCCGCATTTGACCCCAGGTTTGTAGTCCCCAGCCGAACAACAGACCGCCGTCTCCCGCCCAGCTGCCAGGCCGAAACCGCACCGCAGCGAGGGAGCCAGCTCCCCGCGCTCCTCGCAGGCGGGCGGCCAGCCAGCCGCAACTGGGTGGTTGGTGATTGACAGGAGGCTGGAGCAATGAGCCGCAGGGGCGGGACTCTGCGTCACTTCCTGGCTTTTCGGGTAGACGGGGTATATAATTTCGGTGCTCACGCAGCGGCCTCGCTCCCACAGTATGGCCGGCGACATTAGCTAGCGCTCGCTCTACTCTCTCTAACGGGGAAACAGCGGACTACAAGAGACTGAGCTGTATCTGCCTCTATTTCCAACAGACTCACGTTCAACTTTCGCTCACACACACACACAAAAAAAAAAGCCGGGAAAATTTTATTAACCCTTTTTTAAAAAAAGTTAATATAAAATTATAGCAAAAAAGGAACCTGAACTTTAGTAACACAGCTGGAACAATCCGCAGCGGCGGCGGCAGCGGCGGGAGAAGAGATTTAATTTAGTTGATTTTCTGTGGTTGTTGGTTGTTCGCTAGTCTCACGGTGATGGAAGCTGCACATTTTTTCGAAGGAACCGAGAAGCTGCTGGAGGTTTGGTTCTCCAGGCAGCAACCCGACGCAAACCAAGGATCTGGGGATCTTCGCACCATCCCAAGGTGGGTGCTCGGGGCTCTCGCCCACAGTCGGGTCTGGGGGCTGTCGCCGCCTGGGAGGCACCCGCCCCAGGCTGGGGGGGCGGGGGCTGGCTTCCCGCAGCCTTCAGGTGAGGGCAGGTTCGCGGGCGGGGGTCGTTTGGGCGGCCGTGGAGGGCGGCCCCGGCGCTGGCGGGAGCGGCCAGGTCCACGCGCGGCCCGAGCCGGCTTCTCCCGCCACCGTTGCAGGGCCGGGCGCTGCCCGGGGGGAGGGGAGAAGGCCGGCGCCGCCGCGTGCTCAGGTAACGTCCCCCGCGCGGCGTGCGGGGCAGCGGGCGGCGACGCTCGGGGTGGTTTGGCGGCCCTCGCCTCCCAACTTACCTCCCCCTCCGCGGGAGTTGGCGGTTCGGGGCCCCGGGTGAGGTGCACAGGGGTGGGGGCCGCGCGGGCTCCCTCCCAGCAGGTGTGGCTCGGCGGGCTTAGTCAGGCGCTAATTCGGGCGTGTCTGCCTCGGGAATGGAGGAGGGAGGGAGCGGGACAGGAGTCCGACTCGTTCTCTCCGCGTGCTGCGGGAGGAGGGGGCCCACCCGGGGCCGGGCCGAGGGGCTGACGAGCAGGCCTCCCGCCCGTGGTCGGCGCTGGCAGCATGTGGCGCCCGAGCGGCGGGGATTGGGCGGGAGCAGCTGTGTCGCAGTGGCTGGGCCCCACCGCCGCCCTAACGTGCTCTGCAGCAAAGCCTTTTTGGGGCGGCTCGGGGAGCCCACCGAGGCTTGCTCCCGACTCTCTTGACCTTGGGTTGTGTAACCTGTTACCGAGTCGGCGGGGTCCGGGCGAGGTGCGGGCTAGAGTGAGGCTTGCCTATATTCACGGGCTAGAGGCCCGTCCGAGGTCGGACATAATACCTTTAATGCCTAATCCAGCAAAGGAATCTGGGGCCCCAGCCTCCCACCCCGGGCAGTCACGCGAGAGAGCTGGGCGATCGCGCAGAAAAGGAGAGGTCTTGTAGTGGCCTTGATCCAATCGCAGACGAGGGCGCAGGCGACCCCTGGGGTGGCTGGGCCGGCTCCCCCCGGCTGGGCTCGCTAAGCACCCCTCGGCTTTCTAGGCTTCTCCGCGCACAAGTGCAGCTAGCTAGAGTGGCCGTGCGGCGGCGGCGGAGCCGGCGCGGCCGCTTCATTGAGAGGCTACGACCAATGAGCTCGTTGGCCCGACCGGGAGCCTGGCCCCGGGGTGTGGGCCAATGGGCGTTTCAGGAATGTTGGCTGCGCTCGCCGCCTTCTCTGACAAAAAGCAACTGGAGAAGGGAATCCAGGCGGACACGTGCTGCCGGGACTTTAAGGCGATCTATGTTGAAGGAATCTCCTGTAGAAGAGCGCCGCGTTAGCTAAAGTGTTTAAGGCGATCTATGTTGAAGGAATCTCCTGTAGACGAGCGTCGCGTTAGCTAAAGTGTGACCGGTTTCATTTTTCAAGCTTTGTGCGACACTTAAAAATGTCTTAATATATCCGTTTACTCTAAGCACTTTATGTTTATAGGAAGCAGTTACTTACAAAATATGGGGAAGCTTAGTATTTCCTCCATTTCACAGATGGGAAAGCTCCCTGGTTTTGGTTAAACGATTGTGATGGGATTATCTAGAAAATGTTGTCAGGAAGAACTAATGAGTAAGAACAGTCTTATAAAATGAATAACAAAATTTTCTGCTCTGGCTCTTTAAATGGGTTGAAGCTTTATTTGTAAGCACACGTTCTTAATAAAGGGAAAGGAGTGTTTCCTCCCCGAGTTCTTGGGCAAAAAGTGCCAGAATTTAAGCTTGGGCTTTTTTGGTTAAGAGTTCCCTGAATCAAGGAGGAGAAAGGCTTATAAATGGGCAACTTGCTTTCTTTAAATGTTTGAGAACTGCTTTTGTACTTTATTCAGCTGAAATTGTTTTACTGCTTCAGTGTGGATCTTAAAATGATGGCAAAAGTTATACCTTCAAGGACAGGATGTTCAGTTAAGTACCTGAAAAACAATACATGCTTGATACATCACCTAAAATCAATGGACTGGCCAGAGAAAATCACTGGCTTCTGGTCTCTGAGGAGGTGGGGTGCAGACCCCAAAGAGTCCACAGAAGAGTTATCAGTCATCCAGAAGAGTAATGCATAATGAGATGGTTCGTGCATGTCTAGATTTGAATTCAAATATCATCTGATAGCTAGCTGTTTGATATTTACATGTCTCTAAAATGGAGAAAATAATGGTACCTACCTCATAGGGTAATTGTGAGGATTAAGTGGGTTAATACATATATAGTACTTAAAAACTGACTGACAAATAGTAACCGTAAGTGTTAACATCTTTATATTTGATTCTTTGCCCTTAAGGACAGAATCTTGTTTTCTTTTCCTTTCTTTAAGCAAACCAGGCTGGAGGAGAAAGCATATCAGATACTGAGCATTAAAGGGTGCTCTACCAAGTTGATGTATTTTTATTCAAGTAGAGGAGATGGTGAGTTTTGGATTGCTTAAGGAAGTTAAACCTTAATTCTTCCACGGAATAATCAGTCTTTAGTAGCTTTGTTCTTTTTTTAATGATACAAAAGTTTGGAAGCCAGAAAATCCTTCCTTGTCCTTACCTCACATCTCCAACCTCAGTAATACTGCCAAAATGCAAAAAGACAAAAGTCATAGTCAAAAGACATTAACTAACAGACTGGAATAAAGTTAACAGCTTAACTACACTGTTTATAAAACTTAAGGTTATGGAAAGGGTTAAGATGTCCTAAGAGGGCATCACTATCGATTAAAAGATAACAAGGATATTATGGGAAAATTCCTAGAAAAATACTTTTCCACACTGATGCAAGAAGAAACAGAAAATCTTAATAGTCCTATTACCATTGCATGAATTGAATTAATCATTAATCATCCCATGAATATAAATCTAGGCCCAGATGGTTTTACTGGAGTGTTCTAACATTCAAGGAAGAAATAATTCCAACCTTCTTCATACATTCTAATAGTTAACAGAATTTTGATATCAGACCCCTGACAAGCTGTGAAGGAATCAGAATTTTCATGCACTGCAGATGGGAATGGAAAACAGTATATCCACTTTGGAAAATGGTTTGGCAGTTTCTTAATAAGTTAATACATCTGTCATATGATCCAACCAGTCTAGTCCACTCATGTATCTGTCCAAGTGAACAGGAAATGTGTCCATACAAAGACTTTTACTTTTACATGAATGTATTCATAACAGCTTTATTTTTCAATAGCCCCCAAACTGGAAACAGGTCTCTATTAACAAGCAAATAGATAAACAAATTATGATTATTCATATGATAGAATACTACTCAGTAATAAAAAAAGAGAGATGAACTGTTATTGATACATGCAACAAATAATTGTGCTGGAGAAAAAATAATAAGCCTCACAAGAAGTACTATACTGTAAGATTTCATGTCTATAAAACCAGAAAATTCATAAGAATCTGACAGGCAGATCAGTGGTTGCCTGGGGATGGAGTTAAGGGGGAAGGGTGGATTATGGAGAGGCATGAGGGACCTTTTAGGGGTGATGCATGCGGTCAGTGTTTTGTGATAGTTTCCCAGGTATACGTGTATGTCAAGAATCTTGTAGATTTAATGTAAATGAAAAGATTAAAATGAATTTGAAGTTTAGAGTACTATATGTCCCCAAATTCTTTGTACAGTAACAGCGATGAATTTGGAGAATTTAAAAGCTGCTGAAATAGTTTTATAGAAAAGATTCTGCTATCATCAGGTATAAGAATCCAAAAAAATACTTAATTGGAAGCAGTGTGGGGTTTGAAGAATTTGTGACATGAAAATTATTCCACAGACATGAACCAAGAGAAAAAACAAACCATAGGGCCATTTTGAAGGAAATATTCCAGCAGAGCTGGAGAAAGTGGTAATCTGCCAAAATAAAACAATATGATTTGAAAAATCTGACTAATAGTAAAACAGCATATCTTCTGAATACAGATATTTTGGGTTTTTTGAGCTTTTTATTGAAGCACAACACAAAAGTTAAGAGAATCATGGGCTTCTCTGGTGGTCCAGTGGGTAAGAGTACATGCTTCCAATGCAGAGGGCCCAAGTTCAGTCCCTGGTTGAGGAACTGCAGCGAAAAGACCCCGCACGCCGAAATGAAGATGCCAAGTGCCTCAACTGAGACCCGGCACAGCCTAAATAAATAAATACTCATAAGTACATCTCTGATTTTCACAAATTGATCACATTCATGTAACCAGCGCTCAAATCTGAGGAATGTAACTAGCCAGAAATCCCCCTGTACCTCCTTCCAGTTATAACCTATTCCCCTCTCCACCTAAGGGAACCACTATCCTGATTTCTAACACACCATAGATGAGTTTAGTATGCGTTATGCCTCCTTTGGTCAGCATTGTTTGAGGTTTTTTAGTTCATTCTCAATGTTGTATTTTGTGTCCATATGCCACAGTTTATCAAATCTATTGTTAACATGGGTATTTGAGTGATTTCCAGTTTGCTAATACAAATATATGGCTATGAACACTAGTGTAAGTGTCTTTTAGTGAGCAATATGTATGCTTTCCTGTTAAATATACACATACCTAGGAATGGAATTGCTAAGTCATAGGGTGTGCATATAGTCAGCATAAGGGTGCTGGTTGCTCTATATCTTCATCCAACACCTGTATTGTTTTTTTAATTTTAGTTATTGTGGGTATATAGTGGTCTATGTATTTCCCTTCAGACTAATGGAGTTGAGCATCCTTTCATATCTTTATTCACCATTTGGCTATCTTTTGTGAAATGCTTGTTCAAGTCAGCCTGTTTTTCTTTTGGGATGATTTTTCAGTTTGCAGGAGTTCTTTATATATTATGGATGAATTATCTGTCCAGTATGTGTATTACAAATATTTTATACCCTCTGGTTTCCTTTTTCATTTTATTAATGATAGATTTAGAAACAAAAGTTCATAATTTTAATGTAGTCCCATTTATCACTGTTTTCACCTTTAATGTTAGT